TGGAGGAGCGGGTGTGTCTGCAGAGAACGCGAACCAGGTAGGAACTAATATATTCGGGCATTGGCTAATGTAAGGCTTTTTTTTATTATTCTTCTGGAAATCTAGAGTAGAGGGAATCAAAGCTCGGGCAGTTACATGCTCCTCTTGCAGGATGTGGGAGGTAAGGGTCACTGCTGGAATGACCAGAGAAAGGGTAGGGCCGATCGAGGATTGTAAAGGGAATTTGTGCACGGAACCTAGAGAGATAGGAGAGGTCCTTAATGAATACTTTTCTTTGGTATTCACAACTGAGAGGGATTTAGTTGTGGAGGAGGACAGTGTGTGAAACAGGCTGGTAGGCGAGAGGAAGTCAATGTTAGTAAGGAAGATGTACTAAGAATTTTGAGGAACTTGAAGACAGATAAGTCCCCCAGGCCTGATGGGATTTATCCAAGGATTCTATGGGAAGTGAGGGAAGAGATCGCAGGGCCTTTGGCAATGATCTTTTCGTCCTCACTGTCCACGAGTATAGTGCCAGAAGATTGGAGAGAGGCAAACGTCATTCCCTTGTTCAAAAAAGGGAATGGGGATAACCACAGAAATTACAGGCCAGTCAGTCTTGGTGGGCAAGTTATTGGTAAGGGGTCTGAGAGATAGGATTTATGATCACTTGGAAAGGCACAGTTTGATTCGTGATCGTCAGCATGGATTTGTGAGGGGTAGATCATGCCTCACAAACCTTATTGAATTCTTTGAAGAGGTGACCAAACACGTAGATGAAGGTAGAGCAGTGGATGTGGTATACATGGATTTAAGTAAGGCGTTTGATAAGGTTCCCCATGGTAGGCTCATGCAGAAGGTAAGGAGGCACGGGATAGGGGGGAAATGTGGCAGGTTGGATTCAGAACTGGCTGACTCTTAGAAGACAAAGGGTGGTAGTGCACAGAAAATATTCAACATGCTGCTCAGTTACGAGTGGTGTACCACAAGGATCTGTTCTGGGTCCTCTTCTATTTGTGATTTTCGTAAATGATTTGGATGAAGGAGTGGAAGGGTGGTTGAGTAAGTTCGCGGACGATACGAAGGTGGGTCGAGTTGTGGATAGTGCGGAGGGCTGCTCTAGGTTACAAAGGGACATTGATTGGGTGCAGAGCTGGGGTGAGAAGTGGCAGATGGCGTTTAACCCTGAAAAGTGTGAGGTGATTCATTTTGGAAGGACAAAGTTGAAAGCAGAATACAGGGTTAACGGAAAGATTCTTGGCAGTGTGGAGGAGCAGTGGGATCTTGGGGTTCATGTCCACAGTTCCCTGAAAGCTGCCACGCAGGTGGATAGAGTTGTTAAGAAGGTGTATGGTGTGTTAGTTTTCGTTAATAGAGGGATTGCATTCAAGAGCTGTGAAGTTATGCTCCAGCTATACAAAATCCTGGTTCGGCCACATCTGGATTATTGTGTCCAGTTCCGGTCGTCTTATTACAGGAAAGATGTGGAAGCATTGGAAAAGGTGCAGGGGAGATTTACCAGGATGTTGCCTGGAATGGAGGGAAGGTCTTGCGAGGAAAGGTTGAGACAGCTAAGGCTTTTCTCTTTAGAATGACAAAGGTTGACAGGTGACTTGATAGAGGTATACAAAATGATCAGAGGTATAGATAGAGTGGACAGCCAGAGACTTTTTCTTCGGGTGGAGGTAGCTATTACGAGGGGCCATAGTTTTAAAGTGAGTGAAGATAGATATAGGGGAGACATCAGAGGTAGGCTTTTTACACAGAGAGTGGTTGGGGTGTGGAATGCATTGCCGGAGAGGGTAGTGGAGTCGGCCTCATTAGGGGCATTTAATCGGCTATTAGACAGGCATATGGATGATAGTATAAAGTGGGGGTGGAGGTTAGATAGACCTTAGGATGAGGGTAAATGTTTGGCACAACATTGTGGGCCGAACGGCCTGTACTGTGCTGTATTGTTCTATGTCCTAACGTTAGGTTGCATGGGATCCAGGGAAAGCTCGCTAATTGGATTAAAAATTGGCTTGATGGTTGGAAGCAGAGGATGATGGTTGAAGGTTGTTTCTTGGACTGGAGGCCTGTGACTTGTGGTGTGCCACAAGGGTCGGTGCTGTGACCTTTGTTGTTTGTTATTAACATAAATTTTCCAGATGTGAATGCACAAGGCATGATTAGTAAATTTGCAGATGATAGAAAATTCGAAGGTATCATTGATAGTGAGGAATGTTATCAAAAATTAGAGGGATCTTGATCAAATTGGGAAGTGGGCTGAGGATTGGAAAATGCAATTCAATACAGATAAGCGTGAGGTGTTGCACTTTGGAAAGTCAAACCAAAGTAGGCCTTATACAGTAAATGGTAAGGTCCTGAGGAGTGTTGTGAAACAGAGGGACTGAGGAGTACAAGTACATAGTTCGTTGAAAGCGGCGTCACAGGTGGATAAGGTCCTGAAAAAGGCATTTGGCATGCGAGCCTTCATTGATTGAGGCATTGAGTATAGGACTTGGGACATTATATGACAGTTGTATAAGTCGGCGGTGAGACCACACTTGGAGTATTGTGTACAGTTTTGGTTGCCCGGTTACAGAAAAGACATAGTTCAACTGGAAAGCATTCAAAGAAGATTTACACAGGACTGGTGGGCCTGAGTTACAGGGAGAGGTTGATCAGAATAGGACTTTATTTCTTGGAACATAGGAGAATGAGGTGTGACCTTATTGAGGTGTATAAAATCATGAGGGGCATAGATATGATAAATGCATATAGTGTTTTTTGCCCAGGGATGGGGAATTGAAAATTAGAGGACATAGGTTTCAGGTGAGAGGGCAAGAATTTAAGAAGATCCTGAGGGGCAACTTCTTCATGCAGAGAATGGTGCATGTGTGGAATAGGCTGCCAGAGAAAGTGGTTGAGGCAGGTACAATAGCAACATCTAATAAAACATTTGAATATGTACATGGATGGGAAGAGTTTAGAGGGAGATGGACCAAATGCAGGCAATTGGAACTCGCTGAGTGGGCACCATGGTCAGCATGAACCTGTTTGGGTTCAGGAGCCTTTGTCCATACTGTATTACTGTGTGACTCTATGACCTCAAACTACAATGGAACCTTGACCAAAACGACCAATGGGCCAGGGAGTGGCAGCTGGAGCTTAATCTTGAAAAATGAGGTGCTACAAGTTGTGAGCGAAAATCAGGGCAGGACATGCACACGTTATTTTTCCTGAATCAGCAGTTTTATATTTCCTTGGTGAGTTGGAGACTGAGTGGAGACCTTATCGATATTTATAAAATTATGAGGGGTGTGGATAAGCTCCAGGGAAGTGTTGCCAAACCAAGAGGCCTTGGAGTGCAGGTTCATAGCTCCTTCAAAGTGGAATTATAGGGAGACAGGGCAGTGAGGAAGGTGTTTGATTGGTCAGTGCATTGAGTGTATAGATTGGGAGGTCATGTGGCTGCACAAAACATAGGTTCGGCCACTTTTGGAATACTGCATTCAATTCTGGTCTCGCCTTGCTATATGAAAGATGTTGTTAAACTTGAAATGGTTTAGAAATGGTTTACACGGATGTTACCGTGGGTGGAGAGTTTGAGCTGTAGGGAGAGACTGAATAGGCAGTTCTTTATTTTTCCTGAATCAGCAGTTTTATATTTCCTTGGTGAGTTGGAGACTGAGTGGAGACCTTATCGATATTTATAAAATTATGAGGGGTGTGGATAAGGTGAGCAATCAATATCTTCTCCCCAGGGTAGAAGAATCCAAAACTAGAGGATGTAGGTTTAAGGTGAGAGGAGAAAGATTTAAAAGGAATTGAAGGGGCAACATTTACACACACACTGAGTGGTGTGTTTATGGATTGAATGCCATAAGAAGTGGCGGAGGCTGATAAAACTACAACATTTAAAAGGCTTCTTGATGAGTATATGAAAAGGAAAGGTTTAAGAGGGATATGTACCTCATGCTAGCAAGTGGGACTAGATTAATCTCGGATATCTGGTTGCCATGGACGAGGTGGACCCGAGGGTCTGTTAACATGTTGGACCTCTCTGTGACTGTATGACAGGAACAGATTGTGAGAGAATAATAATCTTTCACACTGCATAAACAGACAGACCGATAACTGCACTCCCATTTTCACATTGCCGAATATCTGTCAATCTCTGCAAAGTGGTGTCCCTCAGTAAACCTGAATGTCTTAACAGTACAATGTTGCTCAC